CAATATAAAATAAAGTCATCTGCGTATATTAAGTGCTTGACTGTTGGACAAATACTGGAACAAATATCATTTATTGCAAGAATGAATAGTGTTGTACTGAGTACTGAACCTTGCGGGACTCCATTATTTTGTCTGAATGTCGCCGAAATTTCTCATTTGTTTTTACTTTGAATGTTCTTTGTTGTAAAATGTTTTATTCTTCTTCTTTAAGTGCCGTCTACCAATCGGAGGTTGGATATCATCATCACTATCTTTACTCCAGTCCCTTAAATTCTTCAACCATGACACTCTTCTTCCTATATTCCTTCCTTCTCTTACCTTTCCCTGTATTATCAGCCTTATCAGTTCATATCGCTGTCCCAGATATTGGAACTTTCTTATTTTTATCGTGTTTATTATTTCGCATTCTTTGCCCATTTCTCGCAATACTTCCGTGTTAGTTTTCTTCTGTGTCCATGCTATTCTAAGCATCCTCCTGTAACACCACATTTCAAAGGAGTGTATCTTATTTATGTTTTCTAAAAAAAGTTTTATATGAAGGAGTAAATATTTCCTGTTATCTTGTATTGACGAAGCTTTTCAAGAATGGCTTGGCGAGAGGTAGTATCGAATGCTCCTTCTGTATCAAAGACAGTATCTTGTTTATTTGAAATAGCGAAAGCTATTTGTGTTTGTAATAGCACTAAATTGTCAAGTGTTGAACGGTGACGTCTGAAACCGGATTGCGCTGCGTCAATTATTACATATTTTTCGAGAAGCCATGATGTTAATCTTGAAATAATCATTTTCTCAAACAGTTTATATAATGTACAGGTTAGAGAGATAGTATGATTTTGTTAGGTTTTGAGGGTAGATCAGATTTTTTTATTGGTATGATAATTAATTCACGCCATAGTCTGGGTAATTGCTGAGTATGCCATATCTTATTATAAAGATTCAGCAGTGTTGCGAGGCTGGAATGTGATAAATTTTTAATGAATATAATTGAGATATTGTCTAGCCCAGCGGCGGAGTTCGTATAAGAGAATAGTGCAAGTGCTAATTCTTCTAAGTGTCAAAGGCACGTTGATAGCGTTAATGTCGTTTCTACTAATTTGTGGAGCAAGAGGAATTTGCATATTCTGGTCATTTTGACTTTCAATCTGTTCGACTTCATACCTAAATTTCCATGCAAAAATTTTTATGTACCTATATAATTTAAAACTGAGAAAAACGCAAAATTACTATTTTCTTATCTCAAAAACACAAGTAAAAAACATTATTTTTGAATTTATTTAAAACCTAAATTCATTTTCAGACCTTGTTCTACAGGGTATCCCATAATCAATTGGATATTAGCTAATCGGTGATAGATGATCAAAATACAGCTTTTGAGCTCAAATTGTTTAGGCAAAATGTTGCTAGTTTTCGTTCTCCAAGGTGATTCATTAATATTTTTTATATTATTTTTAGGGTATTGTTAAGTTTTTATTAATTCTAATTTATTGTTCTTAATTTAATTTACTAAAGGTTCTATTTATAACACTCACAAATTTATTAAAGTCTTTATTTGTACTAATTTATTTTACAATAATTTATTACGACCGTACATTTAAATACGCGAGCGCGAATTTATTTTCTTACTAACTGGTCTCCTCAATGAAAATCCCCCGTTATTTATATCCAATACCACTAGACTAGAAACATCTGGCTATGAGTCGATGACTTTCCACCCATTAGGAGGTGACTCATGGACTGGTCTCTCGGCTAACGACTAGAGAATTCTGCCGGCAGGTAACAGGTATTTTCAACTGAGCGCCGAATTTACTAGAAATAGAAAAGAATTAGTCATATTTACAGTTTTATACGCCATAATATTTATTATCGTAACATTGCTCCCCTCTTAAAAGATGGTTGCTCCTGGAACCTTGTCGGGACTGGAACTGGAACGGTATACTGGTATCGGCAACTGGACCATCTTTTACAACTTCCAGTTGTATAAAAATGACAAGGGACGGTTTTTTCTCCGCACCAGTAACTATGCGGATTGCAACAGACTAACACCTGGACTTCGGTGTCTTTACAGTTCTCCTCCACCATATTTCGGATAAACCTCCAATCTAATTGGCGGCACTCTAGCTTTGGCATGGCTAACTTTTGTACGTCGAACTCTAGTACGTGCTCTCTCAATTGAAGTAAGGCTTCCCATACATCTCGGTAGGTAGGTTGGTCACTGGCAGTGTCTTTTGTTACCAGGTAGAAAAGGTAACGTGATATATCTCGGAGTTTCAAGGTTTTACCTGGAGCTGGCACTTGGCATTGAAGTTCTGCAACTCGGCCAAACTTCCTTCGAACGACGGATGCCAACCCTGGTGCGTCTTTGATACTGGCCGGGATGGTAAGGGCCAGTGAGTAGTCATCGGGAAGCGCGAGTAGATCTTGCTTTTCTTCAGTGGTAACACCATGTCTTGCTTTACCGGTACTTCCATAGGCACTCATGAATTCCTCAAACGTCAGGTCAGACACATCTTGGACTTGGTTTACTTCCACTTCTTCATCTACGTCGTGGTCAGCTTCGAAAGACGCCAGCCGGTTATGGTGTACTATCATCGGCTTTCCCCTCGGAATCTTGCTTATTCGGTAAATGACATCATTGATCTTCTCTATAATGAGGTATGGACCTTCCCAAAACTGCCGCAACTTGGGAGAACAACCTTTTCGCTTCTTGGGATTATAGAGCCAGACTTTGTCATTCTTCTTAAAACACCCCTTTTCGGCTTGCATATCGTACCGTTTCTTCATTCGGTCACTAGCGATCTAAAGATGGGAACGGACCAACTCGTGTACATCGTCCATTCTTCTTCGTAATTCGATCACATAATCTTCACCTGCTACATCTTTTCCAGGTCGACACCCAAACTCTAGATCACAAGGTAGTCGTATTTCGCGTACGAATAGGACTCTGGCTGGTGTCTGGCCTGTGGATTCGTTAACAGCAGATCTGTAGACCATTGTGAAGAACGGAAGATATTTGTCCCAGTCTCGCTGATGATCGGATACCATCTTTGTCAAATACTTGCCAACTGTCCTATTCATCCGTTCTACCATACTTCTAAAAATTCATTTTTAACAATAAAGATAAGCGACACAGGCCGATTAAAAGGTATTAATATGAAAACTGGCATTTTTCAAAGCCTACTTTTATCTTTGTAACTGACGCAAATGACCTTTTACTTAATAATAACTACAGACTCTAATAATTAACTCTAGCATCAGAGCAAATTGAAAGCAGATCAATCCTTTCTTAAGTGCAGTTTCGTCTTCTACTTTTGCACACCTTAATGAAATCAGAATAATATTTGTTACAAACGATTCTTGAAGTTAATGATGCAGAAAACTAGCCATCGTCCGGAACAGATAATCTTCCAACTGAACGATATAAAAGAGGTGGCCATGATACCATAATGGCATTACAGCAGCATATAAAAGAAATATGGACACAGAAATCCATCCCCGATGATTGGAATATTGGAATATTTTGCACCATATACAAAAAAAGGAGATATCTTTGAATGATCTAACCACAGAGGAATTACGCTTCTAAATGCAGCGTATAAAATATTTTCCGCAGTACAATGTCACCGTATAGCACCAAATGTAGAACAGATAGTAGGAAAATACCACGCTGGTGTCAGAGGTGGTAAATCGACAATTCATCAGATTGCAACCCTGAAACAGATTTTAGAAATAAAACTGAAATATGACATTGATACTCATCACATATCTATTTATAGACTACAAAGCAGTATATGACTGCGAATAGAACAAAAATGTTTAAAGCAATGAAAGAGATAGGAATACCAAATTAGTTGGTAAATTTAACAAAATTAACTCTTGAAAATTTTTAATGTAGAGTACGAATTCAGGAAAACTATCTGAACCTTTTAAAACAAATAACGGGCTCCACCACAGAGAAATTCTTGAGAAGGCTAGGACCCACATAGGGTTGTAACGCCAAAATGATGACGAGGAAAGTTAAATTTTATAGCTAAAAACAATCGTTTGAGAATTAATTCTCAAAAAGGAATGATATTGTTAGTGTAAAAGGTGTCACCATCAAATTAATTTTAAAATAAATCTTTGTAGGGTACCTACTTAATAATGTTAACTCACTGAGCCTCCCTAAATTAGATCATATAGACATATTTTCGTCCTTAAAAACTATGGTACAATAATTTATCATTGATCCTTATGTGACATCATGTATAACATTGTCTTCATTGTTTAATTGTCATTAAATTGTTGTTTCTTTTTTTTTTTCAAGTTGCATAATATAATATACTTATTTATCATTAATTTATTTACTACGGGTTAGCGTTTGTAACAAAGAACAATAATTTTATTTTGAAAATGATTCTGTAAGTGACCTCTTTTGGCGACTAGTAAAACTGTTAAAACAGGTATTGTCAAGTTGAAAGAAATTTCTAGGAGCATACAGTTTCCTCCAATATCCGGTACACCCTTTTTGCTTTTATCCCTATGAAGGATTTTATCCCTACATTTGTTCATAACCAATACGATATATTATTTATCTAGGTTCATAAGTTTCTGCCTTGAGTCTATGGGTCATACCAACGAAGATCCGAAAAATTATTTTTTAAAAATAGAATTTCATTGTTGTATAAAACATGTATAAAACACTTGGTAAACTAAGATGAAGAAACTTTGATACCAATTACATAAGTATTATATCAGAATAATGTCGAAAATAGTGTAGATTTAACTTTTGATGTAAAAACAAAGAATATAGACGCTTAAGCGTCTATATTCTTTGGTAAAAAGGTTGGCAATTTGATAGAAGGGATATTTAAAAGTTGATAATTTCCATCGAGTTAATCTAAACTCGATGATAATTTCATTCGATTTCATGTTTGACAAGTGACTCTTGACAAGTAGTTATTGTGACAGTTAACAGCTGATGGGCCCCTCTAATGTAACCACTGATAAAAATTATAAATAAAATGGAACAGAATGGGGCCCCACAACCAGATAACAATGTTTATAAAAATAAAATTATTATAATTGGCGCCGGCATGGCCGGTTTGTCAGCAGCTTATCATTTAACCAAGAATAACTTCACTGATTTTAAAATTTTGGAAGCCCGCGGAAGGATAGGCGGTAGAATTGTGCAAATTCCTGTTGGAACTGAAAAAGTGGAACTTGGAGCTAACTGGATACATGGAGTTTTAGGTAAGTTAAACTTACCTGAAACTTGTGTGCTGAATGATATTCCTAATTTAAAACTGTGTTTTTAGGTAACCCTGTCTATGAATTGGCCATGCAAAATGGTTTGGTGGACATTATGGCATATCCAAAGCCCCACAAGTTAGTGGCAGCCACTGAACAGGGAAAACAGATACCATTTACCTTATTGTGTGAAGTTTACGAAGCTTACCTATGCTTTTTAAAACGTTGTGAAGAGTATTTTATTTCTCAGTATTCACCTCCTGAAGGTATCGATAGTGTGGGTGACCACTTAAGATTAGAAATAAGTTTGTATTTAGATAAAGTTAAAGATGATCAAGAAAGACATTTACGAGAATTGATTTTTGAATGTTTGTTGAAGAGAGAGACTTGTATTTCAGGCTGTGATGATATGAATGAAGTTGATTTGTTAGAATTGGGGAGTTATGAAGAGTTGCAAGGAGGCAATATTGTGTTACCAAATGGATACAGCTCAATTTTAGAGCCATTAAAGAATGCTATACCTGAAGACAACCTGTTGGTAAGGCATCCTGTAAAAACTATAAAGTGGTTAGGGAAAAAGGTAAATAAACAATATTATATTTTTAGCAAAATTGCATTAGCTACTCTGATATTTAGAAAACATCAGCTGTTTGCTGCTTTCTTTAATAAAAATTATCCATAGTTTTGTTTTTATTGTTATTTCTGTTTATAGCATGTATTATTGTGCATATTTTCCTGCATTGTTTTATTAAGCTTTTATATTACCTAATATTAAGTATATTAACCTCAGAAATTATACAGTTATATAATTTTTATTTCAATTGAATTATGTTCCAGAACTATGCCGGATTATATGTTTTACAAGTTTGCAGTTATTCTTGACATAATTTGTTTAAATACTCTTCTAATATTATGTTCTAGTTTAATTTAATTCTAAAATTATTTGGATAATTTTGTAGAGTTCTAGATCTACCTCAAATACTGAAGACAGTGATTCAGATGATTCAGATAGAACTGTTATTGAATCCTTACCAAATTCTAATAGCTCTAGTCGTGAATCAAGTTGTGAAAAATCTTTAGACCCCAAACCTAAAGTAGAGGTAATCTGTGATAATGGTAAGAAATTCTTAGGTGAGCATCTAATTTGTACAATACCATTAGGAGTTCTTAAGCACACTGCTATGACTATGTTTCAACCACCTTTGCCTGAATATAAGCTAGAAGCAATAGATAGGTAAGTGATTCCCTTTAGGATTTTATTAACATTATGTTCTAATACAAACATAAAAAAAATAAGGAAAATATGTTAAATGTTGCGGGTCATTGAAAACAGCACATTATAAAAAAATATTTGTGCTGAGATTTGTTTTGTATAAGCTAAGCATGTACTGGTCAAGATGTACCCTCTGCACATTTTTACAGGACCATCTGCACTATTTCAGTCAGTACAGGGCAGACAGTTGGTTGGTAGAAACAGGTCTCTTCCTAGCTTTTGTGCTAAGAGTGTTGGGAGAACTGTTATTGAATGTTGTTGCCCAGTGTTGGCAAAAGATGTTAAGTTAAGAAAAAATCCTTTTAAGTTTCATGTTAGTGAGAGAAGGAGCAAAAAAGTCATAAGGCAGGCCAGATTTCGGGTTCTAAAAATAAATAGGAAGAGATTGAATCTAGGGGAGTTTCATACCCCTTCCTAACTTGATCGAAGATGATTGCAAGTTCTTCCAGTATTTTTGGATGGCCCACATGACATTTGAAGAACTTTTAAATGTTCTGGATATGGAATTTTAAAGAAAAATGATAAATATCAGAGAACAAATCGGCCCTAAGGAGATATTATTGCATCAACATAATTAGTTTACAGACATTCATTATATCAATCACTTGAACAACTCAACTGAAACAGCAGAAAGTTTGTACCAATTGCTGCACACTCTACCAGAACAGATGATGAGTCGTCAGTATGTCAGGTCAGGATATCCTGAAAATCTTTCTTTCTTACTTTTTGAACATGATGGACATTGTAGAGTAGAGTAAATTTTTATTTACATACATTTTTAATATAATATATATTGAGCATAATAACATAATTGAGCAAATAAAGTCACATTAAATATGCTCATCAGGGATAGGATAGGCCAGGCACTCAGCCACAGTATAGGGCTCAATGTTAACTAGGTGTTTAAAAACCTTTCTTTTAAAAGCTCTATAGTATTTTTCCTAGTGAATGTCAGATGGTAGACTATTGTAAAATTTAACACATGCATACAATGGAATTCTCTCTGTTAGAGACAATCTGTGAAGTAGGAAATTCAAATTAAGGCTTCTTATATTCTATTCATGATTTGGAAGCAGGTGATAAAACAAAGTTAAATTTTTAAAAAGGAATATAATACGTTCAGATATATAGATGGCTGAAAAAGTAAGAACCTTGAGTAATTTGAATCAGAATCTACAGGATTCTCCCACCTTTAGTCTTAGATCACCAGGACTGCCTTTTTTGGACTATATAGACAGTTGAGCTATCTACTGCAGCATATCAGAAGATTACTCCATATGGCATAATAGAATAAAAGTTTGCATAATTTACTGATAGTAAAATCCCTTGGTCTAGATAGCTCTTTAGCACTCTAATAAGTATCAGGCTCTATTCAGTTTTTTTGTTGTATTTTGTATTTGTTCCCCCAATTCAAATTCTGGTCAATATGAAGACCAAGAAATTTAACAGATCTAGCAGGTTCCATGTTTTGTGACAAAAAATTTATTATATCTGTGAACTGTTCCTGTGACGGGCTGTTTCTTAAGTAAACAAAAAATGTCTTATCAGTATTAATCAACAACTTTTTTTCACTAAACCACTGTTCAGCCTTGCTTAAGTTTCTCTGCCACTGTGAGGACTGTTTCTAATGTCCTCAGCGCCTAGTCATCAGCGAAATTTACAAAATTTGAGGAACTACTAACCACCGCATTTGGAAGGTCGTTTATGTAAGCAAAAATAGAAAAGACAGCTAAGATGCTCCTCTGTGGTATACCTATTTTTAAATTGATTTGTACAGAGTAAACCTTACATCCAACCAACCAGAAGAATTAATAATTACAATTGCACAAACAACTATAGAACAAGTAAAAGGATATGTATATTTGGGACAACTAATTAAATTAAATAAAGAAAAACAGACCGGAGAAATAAATAGAAGGATACAGTTGGCTAGGGTATCCTTCAGAAAACTTTCCTATATACTAAAAAATAGAAAATACCTCCAATATTTAAAAACAAAAGAGTCTTTAACCAATGTATACTTCTTGTTCTCACCTACAGTTCTCAAACTTGGACATTTACAAAGAAAAACATGGAAACAATAGCAAAGACCCAAAGAGCCATGGAAATACCTTAAGACAGAAAGACGACAGATGGAATAGATGATTATACACTGGAGACCATATAGTTACAAACGAGAAAGAGGAAGGCCACAAATGAGATGGTCAGATGACTTGAAGAAACATGCAGGCCCGAAGTGGATACAAACTGCTTACAATAGATAGGCATGGAAGAAGGAAGAGGATTCCCATGTCCAAAATTGGACTACAAGAGCTGTATAGATAGATGGATAGAAACCTTACATCCATTTTTCTCCAAGCATACTTTTTGTGACCCATCTGTGTGAAGGATTTTATCTATTTTAATATAACTTGCTGTATTCATAACGATGTAATTTTTGTAATAGGAGAACATTATCTAGGCTATTGAAAGCCTTAGATAGCCCAAAAAGCACCTGTGTTTTCATCTTTGTAGTTTTTCTAAAATTTTTGAGATAAAATGATAGGTAGCTGTCTCAACAGATCTTCCATGCTTCGAACTACTAAGTAAGTTGTTTGTAGTAAAAAAGTTTTACTGTAATATATCTCTTTTTTGAATATTTTTGAGAATGTTATAAGAAGGCTTATTGGTCTATAGTTGTCTATCTTAGTAACACCACCTTTTTATATAGTGGCTTGACAATTGCCTGTTTTAAAATTTGAGGATATTTACCTTGCCCAAAAGAAGCATTAACTATAAAAGAAAGACGAAGAGAAATCCCTGATGAAACATAGTTAATTAAGTTGGTTGATATTTCTTCATAACCCATGGACGTCCATGTATAACCAGAGTTATGCTGGTTTTTAAGTTATTTATTATGTCACTTATTTCTTTCTCTGAAACCGGAATTAGAAACATGCAATGATTATTTTGTTCGATATTAATTTGAAAATTTTTTACATGCTTTATTTTCTGTACAACTTTTGGCGCTGCATTTACCATAAATTGATTCATTTTATTAGAAAACACCCGAGGATCACCATCTAAACAGAACTTGATCTTTTTAATTACTCTTAATTTTTTTACCAATTGCCGAGCCATTTTAGTTTTATTTTCGCTATTTTCAGTATATTCTTTATAACAATTTTTTCGAGATTGAGTGAGTAAAGAATTGTATTTGCATTTTTCTGTCTTGTGAATATCTATAATCAACATTATTACTAGACAGTGTAAACAAAACATCAAGCCTAGATTCACAATGTTTTATATCATCATTTTTAAAGCACTTTTGTGATTTTTTTGTGCAGATCGTCCTGTCGTGACCTTGAGGTCCAAGTATGTGCATCACAAGAGAAATCAATGCTAAGTTTTTTTTGTAAAATTCCGTGCGTACCGTCCGACTGAGACATCCCGACCTAGTACGTGCCAAGCTTTATGCTGGTAATTTTTAGTTTTATGGCATGACAAGAAGGTTGTGAAGTGTTTGTCCCATTTTGATTGTAACATAAACATGATTAAATAGTTCCATATCATCTTAATACAAGAATTAGGTACTGATCTAAAATTATTTTTTGTGGTATTTTCTTTTCATTTTAAATGTTATTAAAATGAAATTAAATGAAATGTGGTGACAAATTACATTCAAAGTTAGAAATTGGAAAGTACAGAAAGAAATTTACTTCAAAAGTTTCGTTACCTTTTTTGAATTTTTTAAGTGCTTTGTTTTTTTTTTTAACTCAGAGCCAAGAGATGGTGGTAATGATGCCAGTTATGGTCTTTGTTTCAATAAAACACAAACGATGTATTTTTTATTTAAAAAAATCAATACCTGCTTTAAACAAAAATTGTTTAATTGATATATGGTTGAATGCTTGAAAAAAAATGAACTTTGATCAAATGAAAGGCAGATATCGAGCACAGTTTTATTAATTAAATCTTGCCCAAGTACTTTCGTTTCCTAGAGCATCTTCAGGAGCATTTTGGCCTATCCAACAATCATAGAATGTCATAAACATAAAATTGTGCATTACACTACACACACTACACAAGGACAAACAGTTTAAATGTTTTTTTAATAGGCGAAGCTACATTATGGTCGGCATCAGGAGGGAGAATGCAGAGAGAGACATTCTCTCTCCTAATGCCGACATAATGTAGCTTCGCCTATTTTAAAAAATTTTAAACTGTTTGTCCTTGTGTAATGTGTAGTGTAATGTACAATTTTATGTTTATGGGATGGAAGGATATCCTCATGAAAAGTGGGATAAATTTCGAAAACCAGAGGGAATTTTTTTGTAAAATGAAGAACATCGAATTTATTAGTTCGTATTGCACTAATAAAAGATAAAAAAGACTGAACGAATACCTTTATATTTTCTCAACTTTGATCTTTTTTAGGTTACTTTTTGGAACTGTAGATAAAATAATACTAGAATATGAGAGGCCGTTTCTTCATCCCAGCATCACTGAAGTATTACTACTGTGGGAAGCAGAACCAGAGAAGAATAGTGACATTTGTGAAAACTGGTATAAGAAAATATACTCGTTTATGAAAATATCAGAAACCGTAATTCTAGGATGGATTTCTGGTAAAGAGGCTGAATACATGGAAACTTTACCAAATGATGTTATTATAGAAACGTGTACAAAAGTATTAAGGAAATTTCTTAACGATCCTTTTATACCCAAACCAAAAAGTTGTTTATGGTAAGTTTTGTTTGCTCACTTATTTTTCTCACTTATCTTTGAACTGGAAAGTAGATTAACCGGACGTTGGCCTCGTGTGTAGTCACCTTCAGAATGCACGGGAGACTATACGCTATACTCAGCTGAAGGGAAACTTTGGATTGAATCGGGACTCCCAGCGGGATCACCGTAGATAAACTATGTACTTAACTGGGACTGATCTAGGAATTTTAGGAACTGCATTTGGATTAACCGCGAAATTAACATTGGAATTACGTTTGGACATTGGATTGGCTTTGGATCAACATTGGTTTATACTCGGACATTGGACCCTAATTAAATAAGAAAAAAAACAAAATCAAATAGACGGACTAACAAAACATGAAAATATAAAGGAACACGAAAAAATATCTTGCCTTTGAGAGGGGTCTCCTAATACACAATATCGAACTTCAGTACATATTGGCTCAGCGGAAAATAAATTTAGAAAAAAATATTCCATTTTATAGAAAAAATGTTTAAAGAGTGGAAGACCGTTACTTTTTGTGTGTTCAAAGCATTCTTTGGGAACATTCTCAAACGGGTCGTGATGAATCTGAAACTAACGGTTCTTTCGTACAGAGAATTCATAATACAATTAAAAACAAAATATTTAGGTGCATTTTCGTTAGAACCTCTAAGGGATTATAAGAGATTCAAACAAATTGACGGCACTATATTTGCAAACAAAAGCCACCGACGACTTTAGTCAAAATAACTAGATGATAGTTTTAACAGGGAATTATATTACTGCACTTAGCAGTAAGTTTTAAAAATAAATATCACAGTAAATCCGGATTGACCCAACTGTAAGTCAGAATAGATAAGTGTGTGGTCAAAAATGAACTCTTGGAAGAATATTCATAGGAATTAAAATGTATGTACAGGGTGAAATAAAATTTTGACGAGATGTATGGTATCGAAATATTGACACGTTACAATTTGTATACCTTAGATTTAATTTGTTACATGTATAAACAATTAGTTTTTATTTTAGTACTAGTTGGCACAGTCAACCCTACACGAGGGGTTCTTATACATCAATAGCCGTAGGAGCATCACAAATAGATATAGAATATCTAGCACAACCTATTTATGACGAAAATGACAAAGAGGTAAGCTAAGTCGCCAACAGGTTTTGCTTGAATTAATAATGAATTTATTAAGTTAACCCTTTGGTAGATGTGTCCGCGTGTTTTAGCTGCAAAATGTAATTGTTCATTAAGAACCCAGATAATGTACTATGTAGTTCGGTGTAGGTCCACATATGTATTTGTTATTTATAATACATATCACAACTTACTATAATATTTGTGCAATTCATTGTTATATCAATTTAATTGCCATTAATGTTTCTAAATTAAGTGTTCTATACCTGTAATTTTTTCTTTCGAAATGATTTGTCTTTTTTTGATGTTAGTCAATAGTAATTACGTCTGCTCCTGCATCGCCTTTGATAATGTCAGCCGTAGTTACTGACAAAATGTCAGGAAGAAACAATTCCAGAATAGTGCCTTTAAATAGCGGATACGCCATACCATTACAAAAGAGCTAAAATTTAATATGCCAGAGATCGAGAATGCAGGGTCACCACTAAATCAAGAAAATCGAAAAACTACAATTCCAAACTGTTAACACAACATCAATAGCAAAGATTAGAGTTTAAGAGAAAATATATTATCGGACAATCCACTAGTGGCAAAGTAACTTTAGTTTAAGATCACGATAACGGCAAGAACCAATTTAAAGATGATGTAGTGATCGATATGCCTAGTGGTGCTTTTAGTAAAGAAATCTAAGTGTACTTAATTGTTATTCCACCAATTGTTGGAAAGGTTCGAAACCGACTAGGGAAGGTGTCCCTAGTACTGTTAGATTCAACAAGGCAGGACCACACGAGAACGGCACAGAGTTCACACGAAGTCTGGGCCCTTACCATGCACCCCTGTCAGGTTGCCTACCAACTAAAACCACCCGCGCAGTCTAGAAGGGTGTTCTTGTGGAAGGTCTTAGGGCTTGTCCTACGATGTATAACGGCACACACCTAGGGGAGGGTCTGATTCCTTTTTGGAAGGAAAAGGGGAAATGGGTTCGAAAAACCTATGTTAATTGTTGTCTATTTGATTATTATGCTTATTGAATTCCCTTCCTTAGCTGGTATAGTACTAAATATTTTCGGGCCATGAAAGATATTCCTTCGATATACGTAAGTGAACTTCACGGCTTCTTCTTCTTACGGTGCCTTATCCTTAAGGACGTTGGCCATTACATTTGTCCATTTAATCTTATTTGTAGCAGCCCTGAATAGTCTATGGAGGTCATGTTCGTCCATTGCCGTAGGTTTTTAAGCCAAGAGTTGCGTCTTCTTCCTGGTCCTCTTTTGCTATTGACTTTGCCTTTGATTATAAGTTGAAGCAGTTCATACTTTTGATTTCTTATGATGTGACCAAAATATTGTGTTTTCCGTTCTTTTATTATAAGCATAAGCTCTCTTTCCTTATTCATCCTCCGCAAGACTTCCGCATTTGTCGTATGGCTCATGTAGGATATTCTGAGCATTTTACGGTAACACCAGAGTTCGAATGCTTGGATTCTTTTTTGTGTTGCTTCTGTCATTGTCCAGGCTTCAACACCATAGAGCAAGGTGGAGAAAACATAGCACTTAAGTATTCTAGTTGTCAATGAGATGCCCAGCTGGCGGTTGCATAGAACTTTTTGCATTTTGTAAAACATTGTACGTGCCTTTTCTAGGCGTATTCTTATCTCTAGTGCGTGGTCCCAAGTTTCATCAAGATTATTTCCAAGGTACGTTGTTCTTGTTACTCTTTCCAGATCTGTTCCGTCGACATTGACCTTCACCCTTCTGTTTTGGTGCTTGCTGCTGACCATCGTTTTTGTCTTCTTTGTATTCAATTTCATTCCAAATTCTCTACAGGCTGTCGTTACTCGGTCCATTAAGCGTTGCAGGGCGTCAGCATTATCTGTCAGTATGACAGTGTCATCAGCATATCGCAGGTTATTTATACATTGCCCGTTTATAATTATACCATCCGAGGTGCCTTTCAAAGCTTTCTGAAATATCTTCTCAGAGTAAACATTGAACAGCAAAGGTGATAGGACACATCCCTCTCTTACTCCCTTCTCGATATTGATTTTTCCAGGTGTTTCGCTTTTTATTCTGATTTTAGCCTTTTGTTCTTGGTAGAGGTTTGAAATGATCCTTAAGTCTTTATCGTCGATATTACATGACCTTAAAATATCTATTAGTTTATCATGTTTCACCAGGTCAAACGCTTTCTGAAAGTCTATAAAACACAAGTATACATCAGAATCGACATCTCTACATCTTTGAACTAGCACACGTATTGAAAAAAGTGCTTCTCTTGTTCCGAACCCATTCTTAAAACCAAACTGAGTTTGACCAGTGTGTTCGTCTAATTTATTGTATACTCTATTGTGTATTACTCGTAGGAAAAGCTTCAACATATGATTCATCAGGCTAATAATCCTATGGTCTTCACATTTCTTGGAGTTTCTCTTCTTTGGTAGTGGTATAAACACCGATGTCAGCCAATCATTTGGTATTATGCCTGTTTTGTATATTTTGTTAAATATATCTTCCATTACTTCGATGTGTTCGTCTAGTAATATCTTTATTATTTCAATTGGGATATTATCTTCCCCAACAGCTTTTCCGTTCTTTATCTGATTTGCCGCTTTGATAATTTCTTGTTTTGTGATATAAGGTCCAGTCGATGCCTCCTGCATGTAAATGTTCGTCCTCTCTCGGTCTTGAAACATCTCTTCCACGTATTCTCTCCATCTACCTATTTGATCTTCTATGTTCAGTAGCGGGTTCCCATGTTTATCTTCGATGAAAGACGTAGACGAAAACTTCACGGCAATGATTCCTTATATGTTTGGTTTTATCGGGTTGTACTTATAAAGCGTAATTGATCGATGCTACAAATTTAATAACGAGAAAATATTTACAAAACAATTAAAGAGTTTGCTTTACAACATCATTCAGTATTTATACCGGTGTTTTTGTGGCACGCTAATATAGCAAAAACGAATACACTTTTGACTGCATGTTTGAGACGAAGGGACAGCGTACCGAGTACTGCAAACAGCCGCACATTCGGCTAGCAACTTAAGAGCACACTCATATCTGCGATTCTTTCGTTTTGCTGGACAATTTTTTTTTCTAAAAGGGCCGTCGGGAAGGCGTCGGTGGTTATAACTTAACGCTCTTATAAGGCACTTATGAGATGATTATTTTGTAGGGAAGAAGTACAATCTGTCACATAACATTCAAGCCAATATTTGTGAAAACGAAAATAAACTAATATTAATACAACTTGTTTTTATCACACGGATTATTTATTGTTTAGTGGACTGTTCAGTTTAACTTGCCCTATTGGAATTTATTCCAACAATACGCACTCTTCATTGGTACAACGGACTTCATTTTATCTCTTTCAAATATCGGAAATGTTGTAAAAAATGATTATAAAAGTTGGTTTACATTAAAACGATGGATAAATTGGTCATCATGTAGTCCAGAAAACGTTTCAGAAATATGTAATGTTACCTTCGAGCTGGCCGTAGTTAGGTCAAGATCTTCTCTTGTGCTTCATTGAATAATTACTTTACTGGTCCCAATTAAGTAAAAATACGTTATGACGTTTCAATTCACTTTCGATCGTCAACATTCATGAATGTTGGCGATAATCATGGCAATTTTTATTTAGATCAAGATGTATCTTATATATTTTTATGTTGTAGAATAAATAAAGCGTTCGGATGTAAAAAATAATGGTATCTGACAGAATTATCGAAATTAAATTTTTTCATGAAAACAATGGCATATGCAGTTCTAAACTAAATACACAATAAAGATGCACTAGGAATAAACAAACCAATACATTATGGGGCAATACGCAATTTAGGGCACTCTACATAACCAAATATATTTTCCTCAAGGCACCGCGTCACAGTGTTGCCGTATTTATTTTAGTAAAATATTATAGTTAAAATATATTGTATATATATATATAGATATATATATATATATATATATTATAGTTACTTTTACGAAATAATAATTTGTGTTATTAGAACCTACAAATTTTAAATAAGTATAAAACTTGCCATATTTTTATTGTAAAATGTAAATGAAAGTTTAAAATATGAGTTACTTTTACGAAATTATAATTTGTATTCTGAGAAGCTACAAGTTTTAAATAAGTATAAAACAAATATTTTCTGTTACTTTAAATGCAGTTACATATTGTAATTAGCACCTTTCAAATCTTATCTATTAGGACCTTATTATTAGGTGTTAGTTAGGTAAAATCTATGAATTTTTATATAATTTCAGTACATTTCTATTATATACGGTAATTTAATTAATACTATTAATTTTTTATATCATTTTAATCAATTTTATTGTACATGCATTTAATTATTATCTTTAATTTAATTAAAATCTCGGATTTTTTATATAATTTCAATGCATTTTTATAATATTATGTGAGAGTATGAAAAAACTGGAGACTTAGCAACTCTGACACCATTTAAGCGTATGTTAAATGTCATATAAAAGCTTGGTTATGTAGAGTGCCCTGAATTGCGTATTGCCCACATTATGAATGTTACGAGGAGCACTCACAAATCATGATTTTAACAATGCTCACGATCATATCCGACAAGCGAGAGCTCGCAGGTTGCGCGTAGAACCAATTGAAAAATGGAGGGGATTGCTCATTTCTGTTACTGTCGGCTAGGAGCTCACATCGTAGTAGTTAGTTCTAGATTTCTGACAGTGTTGTCAAGCATTTATATTTTTATTCGGAGTGGTCCTATATTATAAACTATTATTTATATTTATTAAAATGGCAAGTGTATTAAAGGGCAAACCTTTGGGATCTCAAGCACGAGAAATAATTTTCAAATTTACAACCGAAGGAGCTTATGCAGATAAAGTTGTAGTTGATTTAGAAAAGGATACAAGAACGTGTAACTCGCTTAACTGGAAATTATAATACTCATTTTCAAGATAAATTCAGATACGTATACAATGAATAAAACAAATAAAAAATTACAGTGCATTAGATTACCAGTAAATAATAAGTAAACAATGGATCAGTTAATTAGTAATTTACAGTTCACTATTATTGATAATATAATTGTTATTTTAAGTGAAACTGTTATATTTACTGAAGAATAATGCTATAGATAATATATCTTTATATGTATTATACTATTTATCTTGTATATTTATTATATACTTACTTATATTAGGGTTCGACCTCGCTTTCTATCACAAACTTGGGAAGTAGTTAGAAATTACAAAAACTTTAAACCTGAAATTAACTGAACCTATTGGAAAATAACGAAATTTAATTTAAAAATTGGTCAAAACTTTTGCATCAATTGTCTAACATAATAATATGGTAAGTATACAATAGCATTTTTCATATAAAAAAGCTTGCACGTCATTCAAGATTTACGTCGTCAGAACCCCACAGCGTTGCCAAAACATCAGAATAGTTAGTAAGTGAGGAATTTTTAAAATGTCAATTATTTGTCAAACTATTATATTAACAGTAAATACACTTAGTTTTGAGACTACTGCAACACATTAAAATACATAAGAAAACATTTTAATACAAAATTATATATTCTAAATTTTAAACTTACCTCTTTTAGGGCTTGAATAACAAAAACGTCCCGCCATTATTTCTTGTTCAAAATAATCTATCTTATATGAAAGCTATCAGCTTTCTACAGACTTTTATTTGTTTTGGCATATCACAATCACAATACACAACAATAATTAGTTTTTAAAGCTATTAATCTAAATTTAAAATGCATTTTAATAAAATACAATATTTTTATAATATATATATTATATTATGATCAAATTGTGTAAGAAATCAAAACATAAACAAAATTTCTACTCTAAAAAATCGGCAACACTTTATACACTTTTGCCACCCGCTGAACTGTCAATAATATTTGATATATTTCCGTATCAGTTGCGTGCAATTGTCTAATATATTTAATTAAAATGATTATTTTGTGGAATATTAGACTTCAAGAGTTATTTCATAAAATTTATATTATTAATAATAATAAATTTTTTGGTTATTTAATCAATATAATTCTAAAATTTCCAATATAATGATGATTATATTTTTCTGATTATTACAATGTTGACGCCTATGAAAGATCGAGCAGTTCCGTATGGGTTTCGTATTATTAGCTGTGTTAGGAAAATTTGAACTATAAGGTTGATGTTCTGGAAATTTTAAATACAAGTGACGTCACTTTGTATAAATCGTGACGTGCAAGTGTTTTACTTTGAAAAATGGTATATATCTACTAACGTAATTTTCAGATCCCAACTAAATTTTTGATACGGCAACTACGTATTTGCGACACCCGCGATTAAGTACCTCTCCTGTCTCTCTTAGAATATTTCCTTTTCTATTTTCGCGCAGCTCACCCGCTAGCTCTCGCTTGTCGGATTGTACAAATGTACATATCTACTTCATAAACTGTATTAACAGGCATCGTAGCATAAGATATTGGCGACACTAGTAATTAACAGCATAACGTATTATTTAGTAGTCATTATACGCGGAGAAGTCACAGATATGTTAAATGAATATGACTTTGAATGTTCGAAGGTGGTCCTCAGAATGAACTTGTGCAAAACTAAGTTTATGACAAATATGGTCCCCAATAACCATTTAACTATTCAAAACAAAGTGGTAGAACTGGTGGAGAAATATACGTATTTGGGTTACCAAAGAAGAATCAGCAGGGATAACCAAACATGCGAAATCCAAAGACGAATTTCTTTAGCGTGGGCAGCCTTTGGAAAACTGCGAGACACACTTAGGGCCAACATACCAATTAGCCTTAAAAGAAAAGTATTTGACCAATGCGTATCGCCGGTCATGACCTATGGGGCGGAAACTATGACTCTAACCAAGACTACGGCTTCGAAATTGAGTGTAGCACAGAGACGAATGGAAAGATCTATGCTGAGAGTGACGTTGCGGGACCGAAGAAGAAACGAAGATCTGCGAAGAAGGACGAGTATTGCTGATGTTGTGGAACGCATAGCGGAACTTAAATGGAATTGGGCAGGCCATGTAGCGGGAATGCATGACTCACGATGGACGAGCAAAACTACACATCGGAGGCCAAGAGAAGACAAACGTAGTAGAGGAAGACCACCTACACATCGGGCTGACGACATCAGGCGTATCACGAACAATTGTCAACAAATGAAACCAAAAAGCCCAAAATCGCAAAGAGGATGAATGGAGGCCTATGTCCAGCAGTTGACGTGATAAATGAAGGCTGGATGATGATGATACGCGGAAGTATTTACTATAACTTAGTTGGACCACTGTTATCTCAGTGTTAATGTTGTAGCAAGGGCGTGCGCCAGGGAATTGTACGTACTTTAATTCATTTATTTATATTTTATGATCAGAAGAATAACAAAGATGAAATCAAATTAGTGAATGTTAGAATGAAGTTTTCCAACAACATAATAATGTGAATAATGATGTCTCTAAAACAAATATAAAGATTTGATATTGTTTTCGTGATTTACTAGGTAATAAGTTTAATAACGATTTACGTGCTATTTCATTGCTTCTGATGGAGTCCCAACTAGATATTATTGATAATTTGCAATCATAGTAATTAATTTCGGAATCTAGGATGTAATAATTATGATTGAAAATAATATAAAATAGTTGTGTAAAATGTAGTAAAATTTCATATCAAAAGCACGTACATTGCATAGTACATTAAACAAAGAAATTGTTCGTTCACTAAATATAGTTCCATAGTTTTATTTTTATTCAGCAGCGTATAAAGTTTATGTTTTGTTTCAGCCTGTGCTCTTGTTTGCCGGTGAACACACGCACAGCAGCTTTTATTCGACTGTTCACGGGGCCTACTTAAGCGGCAGAACTGTAGCACAAATCCTTATGACAACTGACAATTCAGAAGAAATCGTCGTCGATTGTGGAGACGCCACGGATTTGAGTTCGTGGGTGCAAGGGATTTGTCTAGAGTGAAATTGCCTTAAAACATTTCGTAATTATTTATTTTAAAACAGTCGTACTGTAGGAAAACCGAGTGGTACTCAAGCGTAAGATTGTTTCGAGTCGTTTTGGTAGATTTTTTTATTTGAAAGTAGAGCTACTGATAAACAACGATTTATTTAAGCGGTATACTCAAACGAAAGCCTTGAAATGTCTAAGCCAAAAGCTACTATAAGCAAGTTCTTGGTTGAATGAAAAGATCCTCGCTTGTCTTAAAATTTATTAATTTGTATCTTTGTATCTATCTGCTAAATGCTGGAATATTGTGATTAGTATAACTTTATACTAATATGATATAAATTGATGCACTATGCTATTGAAAATATTGTTTTACAGTCAATCACATTGTTAAAGCTTTTTTAGTACTTTCTTACATTCATATAAAACGAAACAATGATACATGAAACAAAAAAATTAAATTCTCAACATTGTTTCTTTCACAGAATATTGTCTATTTGACATGTTTCACTTTACAAAAGCTTCCTCATAAGGGAAATTTTAAATTACCCATTTACATGTGCAAACACTCTTTGTTAAAGGACTTTGTTAAACACCGAAATATGTCAAATTGACAATATTTTGTAGAACTTTAAAAATCACCTAACTGCTAATTCCGTAAGTAGTAAAACGGTATATAATAATTACTTATGGTATCCTAAAAGACATTAAAAAAATAGTAAATTCAATTTTTTTAAAGCTAATCTGCCTAGTCTTCCAAAATTATGATTTTGTGACCAAAATTCATGAAACTTCGAACGTAGTTATGAGGTTCGAATCGGTTTGTAAATGCCCCTTTGTCCGCTTTTTGTCGATCGACGATGATAAATATAATAAAAGGTTGAAGTTATGCAGAAAATGTTGATTTTATTGACAGCTACTAATAATTACACAATATTATGTTCATTAGGTAACTACTTATAATAAACTGTACTCACATGAGCTCAAATCCAGAATTTATAATCTCACAAATAATTCATACCTCAGCACAGAGGTTATTGCTTCGTTCATACCATATCAACAAACTTTGAACTATTTGCTTACATTACAATTTAATCTAGGCCTTAATTGCGACACTTGGAAGTCAATTAGAAATATATTATTCGGCAATTATTGTGTTGTAGGTAAATGAACTAATTATTAAAATATTATACGATATGGTTTTACATCCCACTTATCACGTGAATATACTATAAGAAGATAATGTGAGATTACAAATTAAGGAGTTAATTTGTGATTAAACAATCACTATAATTATCGCAACGTTTTCTTTTGATTTTGTTCATACGTAGTTTAGGACAAAATTGATCTTTTTGCCTTTATTTATGTTGCACTTATAATGCAATATAGAATATTTTTTAAAAGACTTTTGATCTGTATGCTCTTCACATCACAAATAAGTTCTTAAGGGCAAAACATCAAAATAATCTTCCAACAATGACATGCTAGAAATAAACTGATATGTTTTGCAATAAGTTTACAAAATGCTATTTTATTTATTCGTTTAGGTAGGGTCATGTGTTCTACAGACTTTAAAATTAAAAAAAAATTAAATTGTCTAGATCAGTCCCCTTTTAACCTAGAAACACGAAATTGTACGAGTACCAAAAACACATATTTGTAATCTATTACACATAATTTGATTATCTACAAAGATTAATGTTTTTGAGTTAATATGGTTTTCTTCTTTTAAGTGTCTTTGGTTCATTGTACCCACGGGTGGTACACAATGAACTAGTGCTGCGTACACATTGAACCAAACTACTTTATTTTAAACATAACTAATAAAAATTAGGTTTACAAAAACTATAGTAAGATTTCAAATTTTTATTGTTTACAAAGCACAAGAATAGTTGAAAAGAACAATAAAACTGAAGATATAATTCCTATCTGACATTGAATAAAGAAAAAGACACTGTAAAAAAACGTAAAATAGCATTGTTGTCGTTTTGTGCTGCCACATAGTTTTGGTCTCGGCAAAATATATTTCACATCTTTCTTGTTGACGGAAGCTATATCAGGAATATTGGGCATAACAAACTGCTCACTATATTTATCCTTAAGTCTTAAAAATGATATGCAATATTCCCCATCTTGTTCTATCTTTAATATTTTCCCCACAAAATATACCACTGACTTTGGTGGATGAAATTCTACGAGGACATAATCTTCTACGTTAGGGTTAAAACCTAGGGTACTAAACAAATTTGGATTTAAAATAGGAAGATCTTGTTCATACTTTCCACTATCATTGTCACTCTCAAGGGAAATATCTATTTCATCCTCCTCTGAATCTGTATTGTCGTCATTAACAAATTGGACTCTCTTCTTAGCTTGTCTATTTTCATTTATTAGTTTCTTTCTTTTAGCTTGCAATCTTTCTTCTTCAATAATGTTTTTTCAAGTGTACCTGTGACAATAATACTTTTTTTTACTTTTTCTGTTCTTTTTATTATTTTGACGAGGTTGTGCTTTCAATTTTCAATGCAGGCATAAATGCTTGATTTTCTATATGTTCCGGTTTTCTGATTGAATGTTGTTAGCTGCAGCACTGTCATTTTCATTTTGCATAGTGATTTCATCATTATGTTCACCTCCTTGAAGGTCTCTTGTATTATTAGAACTTTCATCATTTGGACATGTCTGTTTGTTACCTCACTTGGCAAAAAGTCCTCGTCTGTAAAGATATCTCGAAGAAAGGGATATATACCACATTTTTTAAAGGTATTAGCTATATTTGTAGGAGTCATGGAACGGCTGTGTGCTATTCAATCTTCAGCTAGTATAATGATTGCCTACCGTTCTAGAAGCCATGACTCTGTAGCACTGTTATAATACGTCTTGAATGGCGCGTATAAATCAACGTCAAGTGGCTGTAATTTAACCGATGTGTGGGGATGTAAAGTTACAATATTAACCCCTGCAGCTTTTGCCAAATCTAAGGCTGCGATTGATAAATGAGATTCGTGATTATCGAATATTAAAATTGATGGATTATCAGGAGAGCTTCTGCTATGTTTAATGAAATGTTTCATTATCTCTACAAATAACTCAGAATTTATCCATCCTGTCAACTATTTAGATCTATTTAGAATAGCTCGAGAGAGAGACAGTTTCGCCATGTTAATCGCCAACGTCAAGGGGACTTGATAGGGCACATTAAGAAGAAGAAGAAGTCGGCGTAGCAAGGCCTAAAGAGTCAGTGGAGGCGCCTTTTAACATGAAATCCTTATAATTTTTCCGCGGAAAAATTATTGCTGGAGGTAAATCATAACCACCGGCACATATAAAACAGTACGTTGTTACTAGCGTCCCTTTCTTACCGCTAGTGATTTTACCCAAACACTTTTTCCCTTTTGGTGCCAATATTTTCTGCGTTTTTTGCACCGTTGTGGTTGCAGTTTTATCCAAGTTGTAAATTCTTGTGTCGTCAGAAAAAGCGGCATTTCGATTTATTACAGCATATAAGTTGTCAAAAAAGCGATTAACATTATCTCTGTTAAATGATGTCGCACGTGCCAGGCTGCACGGCTCTAGTTTTCTCAGTAACAGATCTGCATGCCTGTTCCTAAAACTTCGGAGCCATTCCCTGCCAGCCATCTCTGCATTTTTCCAGGAATTTTGATATTATTCCAAAAACCAATAATTCATTATCTACAACAGTATCATGTGTATTTTAGAGTTACATACCCAAACAATAACTAATGTATCAATGTATCGTACCACAGAAAATAAATAAAATAATTCACGCATGTACGAAAAAAAAGCGAAAAAACTTACCTTGAAAATTTTACTCGATGCATCCAAATTCTTATAATCCGTTAAAACACGTACACGATAAGTGGTGGCAAAACAACTGGTATTTAGTTCTAGGTTTAGGTTATCTAGTACATTCGTACAGTGGTGCCGGGGTTTTTCTAAAATGCTTATTAGTAACGAAAGATTGGTTGGTTCATTGTGTACATGTGGTTCATTGTTGAACACATGACCCTACTTAATAGAAGACTTAAGAAATGGTTTCGAATATATGAGGTTTTAAAAATTAATGGTCTAAAAATAATTATCACGACAGTTAATCGCGTACAACTGATTTGTGCAATGAAATATGTAGTGGAGAGTCCACGCTAATATCTACAAGATATGTTGAAATTAAAAACATGTATGAATAAGTTTAATTAAGAAAAAGTATTCAATGACTAAATAGAATAATTTCTTTGGCTGTTACTTATTTTAAAAGGTAGCCAGGCATATACTTTTAAGGTTTTTATTTGATTATGTTTCCTAATATTTTTTGTCCAGTAATTTTTTTAAGTAAATTATTAATAATCTTGAAAATGCTGTTGGATATCTTGTTTCATATTAGATTATTCATCTAGACTGCTAGAGAAATTAATTACTTTGTTAAAAGAATAGATAAATATTAACAGAGTTAAGTAAAAATGAAAACTTTACCTATAGTTAGGCATTCAAATCAGAAATCTTACTCCATTTACTTTTTAAGTAGTTTTGGATTTATTATCATTATTATTCATCTGTTGGCCATAGGCTTTTCCCAAAAATATCTGTGTTGTTCTGTTGTGTGCGAACTAGTTCGAACATCTTGCATATGTGAATGCTTCCCGTATCATAATTTTTTTTGGTAGTCCACAAAGCAGGTGTAGATATCGCAAGTCATATCTCTGCATATTTGGAAAAATAAGTGTAGACTAAACAGTGCATCTCTCGTACCTACGCCTTTCACGAATCCAAACTGTGTGTCTTGTATCTCTCTCTGATCTCTCTTCGCATAGCTTGTATATTCTGCGATTTATAATTTTAAGAAAAAGTTTTAGTGTATGGCTCATTAGACTTATTAGCTTATATTCTTCGCACTTTTTCGCTCCCTGTTTCTTTGGTAACGTAATAAATTCTGAAACTAGCCAATCTTTTGGAATATTGCCTGTTTCATAGATATTATTGAAGATTTTAAATAGTATTCTTAAATATTCATTATCAAGAAGTTTAAGAAATTCAGACTGTACTTCGTCTGGTCCTGGAGGTCTCCCTTCTTTTAGTGATATTATAGCTGCTCTTATTTCTGCCACTAGTATAGGTGGTCCTGTTTTTGTGATTGGGGACTGGTTTGCACTCTCATCAAAAAATAAATTTCTTATGTAATTTTTCCAGGTATTATCAATACTCTCTTTGTCCGCGATTACCT